CTCCTTCTCCTTCTCCTTCTCCTTCTCCTTCTCCTTCTCCTTCTCCTCCTTCTCCTTCTCCGCCTTTTTACTATATCCTAATAATCTTCCTTCTTGCCTACAAAGCAGATACTTGCTACCTGGCCTGTGCTGTTACTTGAAGTAGCAGGGAGAGGGATGATTACACTCTCCCCCTTGTACATGGGGAAACTGTGCCCCAGAAAGGGAAAACAGCGGGTTCTAGACAGTGGGGAACCAGCCTGATTCCTGTCCCACCCCCGGCCTCCTGGCAAAGAGGAGGGCACTGAGCTCATGTTAAAATCATCTGACTGCTAGGAGGCTGAGGCAGGAGGATCGCCATGAGTTTGAGGGCAGCCCGGGCTACACAGTGAGTTTAAGGCCAGCCTGCGCTACATAGCGAGACCCTGTCTCAAAAAACCAAAACCAAAACACCAAAAAACAAAACAAAACAAAAAACTGATTGCTAAGATTCTCAGTGACTCCCCCTTACCCTTAGAATACAGAACACACAGGTTGTCTTTGCATACTAAGGAACCTCGCCTTGGCTGAGCTACACCCCACAGGGCTCACGCCCTCTCTAGACTGGCTCAGCGCCTCAGAAACTTAGTGACTCTTTATTACTCACTCTCCTTGCTCCAGTCACCCTGCCTGAGGACTTTCGCACTTTCCCTTCCCTTTTCCAGGAACCCTCTTTTCTCGGTTACCAGCCCCTTCCCATCAATCACCGCTCTGCTCAAATCTGTCCCCAAGGGACTGGGCAGGGCTGCCTACATCTGGCATTCCAGTTCTCTGGAAGGCTGAGGCAGGAGGATCAAATATTTGAGCCCAGCTGGGGCAACTTAGCAAAACCTTGTCTCAAAATAAAAAAAAAAATAAAAAGGGCTGGGGACAGAGCTCCACGCAAAGGCCCTGGTTTTCATCTCCAGTCCTGAAAAAAAAAAAAAAATCTGTCACCAAGACGCTTCGGTTTATTGTCCTGTTTTGTGGTTGTCAGGGCGAGGATCGCATTTGTTATTGATCATCTTGTTGGCGCCTGAAAGCTTCCCGTTGCTGCCCCGCCTGGGTCAGGGCCGAGTGCCCGGGACCAGCCCGGGCCAGTCGCTCAGGGCACACCCCACCCCCACCCCGCGCCGCTACCCACGTGACTAACCCGGCGCCGCCTCTCCTCTCCCTTCCCTCCCAGCCGCGGCAGGTAACCTGGAGGTGCATGTGTCCCCCAGGGAAGCCATCCTGCCGCGAGGAGCCTCCGTGCTGGTGAACTGCAGCTTCTCCGGCTGTGAGCAGCAGTCGGGCTGGAAGCTGGGCCTGGAGACTCAGCTGCTCAAAGTCACACTGGGCAGCGGGAGCAACTGGCAGCTGTTCGAACTGAGAGGAGTCCTGGAAGACAGCTCGCCGATGTGCTTCCTGACCTGCCCCGACGGGGGCCAGGGGACCGCCACGGTCTCCATCACCGTGTACAGTGAGTGGCCCGGGCGGGACGCCGGCCCTAGGGGATGGGTGGGTAGAGCCCAGGCCTCAGGTGTGCCAGGCATGTGCTCCAAGCCCCACCCCGGCCTGTGCCTCTCCTTTAACATAGGTCACAGCCTGGATCCCACATTTTAAAAAAGATGTGCTGGGCGTGGTGGAGCACGCCTGTCATCCCAGCACTTGGGAGGCTGAGGCAGGAGGGTCGCTGTGCATTCACTGCCAGCCTGGGCTATGTAGGGAGTTTAAACCCAGCCTGGCTGAAACATATAAAGAAAGAAAGTCTCTAAAGAAAGTACTCTACAAACTCTTCTTGTCTCTAAAGAAAGAAGAAGAAACAGAAAAATGCAGGACTTCGAATGTATCTCTGTGGTAGAGCATCCCTGGGTCTGTCCCTAGCACCAGAAAAAAGAAAAAAAAAAAAAAAAAAGATGCAGTTTATTTTTTTTTTTAAGATGCCATTTAAAGCTAGCCCCGAGGTGACATTTTTCACATACAGGTAATAATCAAAAGAATTGGTAACAGCAATGCTGTTCTCTAAGTGACATGTGCAGGTGTCCTGTGAAATACAAATCCAGACATGGGTCCTTGCCACAAGGAACTGAAGGGGAGCTGGTCTTTTTATTTTTATTTTATTTATTTAGTGGTACTGGATATTAAAGCTAGGGCTTGTGCATGCTAGGCAAGTGCCCTACCACTGAGCTCCACCCATGGTCTACAGAGCCGCTGTGTTGAAGGGCAGAGGTTTGTAGAGTACTCAGTGAAAGGGCCGGGCAAATCAAGGGCCATCTGGCTGGCCATCCATGGAATGTTGAAAAAAAAAACAAACGAAAGTATGCGGAGCATGAGCGGCACGCTACTTCTGTGTTAGCAGGTGCCAGAGGCCGGAGGAGGCTGCCTGTCTCCACTACAGAGTCCTGGCTGAGCATGGTGGTGCACGCCTGTCATCCCAGTGCTTGGGAGGCTGAGGCAGGAGGATCGCTGTGGGTTCAAGGCCAGCCTGAACTACATAGTGAGACCCTGTCTAAAACAAAGAGAAACCCTGAAAGAAAACTCTAGAAATGACAATAGGCTGGGTGTACATGCGGCTGGGAGTCCCAGCTACTCCTTGAATTCCCAGATGGTCCTTGTAGTTCCAGCTACTCAGGAGACTGAAGCACAAGGATCACTTGAGCCTGGGTTTGAGGACCAACCTGGGTAACACAGTGAGACCTCCACTCAAAGGAAGAAAAGTAAGAGAAGAAAAGAAAGGATTGGTTGTCTGGGAGGAAGACATCCTGGGCTTGGGAGAGAACAGGGAGGGGGTTTCTCCAAGTGTCTTTTCTACTTTGAGGATTTTTGAGCTGTGAGAATTAGTGACCACGTGGCGGGGAGGGCGGAGGATTTTTTTTTTTTAGATCATCACAAAACAAAATAAGACAAAACTCAAGGAGTAACAAAACAGAAAAGTGTTGCCACAGGGTTACACGCCTATAAACCCAGCAGTCGAGAGGCTGAGGCAGGAGGATCCCAAGTTTAAGATCAGCCTGGGCAACGTGGTGAGACCCTGTCTCAAAATTTAAAAACTAACTATAAAAAGGGCTGGGAATGAGTTCAGTGGGAAGCCGCCAGATCATACACACAGCACTTGGCAAGCGGCTGGCTGCGGGACCCACGCCTGCAGGCAGACCCTGGCTTGGAGGCTGATTTGCAGGCATGTGAACATTGGGCGGCCCCGACAGGGAAGTCCCCAGACAGTCCTGGCAGCTTCTGAAAACCCTGGAGAAACCTGTTTCAGAGACTTCCCATCTCTCTGACTGGGACCCTAACGCTGCTGATTGGAGCACTGGCCCTGCTACATTTCTGCCTCTGTGGTACTGGGCCCTCCACTTTGCCTTAGTCTCTCTGTCCGTGACATGGAGCAGAGGGCTGGCGCACAGTATCCTGGGGCAGGGGGAGGTGAGCAAGGGTCTTGTACCACACTTGGTGTAAAGATAGCTGAGCCTTTTCCAGAATGGTTAGAGATATAATTCATTCAGGAGGTGACCACAAGGTGGGCTTTGAGGGATGTGTAGGAGCTGGTGACAATGGGTATTCTGGGTGGAGCAAAAGCCTAGGCAAAAATTTGAAGTAGGAAAGTATCCTGACGGGTGTGCAGGAGGAACTGTACATCAACAAGATGTACAGGTTAGGGGCTTGGCTTTCCCCTCCTAGGGTAATAGGGAGTCCTGGCAGGTTTGTGAGTAGGCCAGGGATCTAAGTAGCATTAGTACTTCCTGGACTTCCAGGAAGCCTGGGAGCCAGTTGAACATGGACCTTGCCCAGGCTGCACATGCTGCCCCAGACATGAGGGGCAGATAAATATTTGAAGAATGGGGAGACCAGATGAGGAGCAAAGACGTGGGGTGAGGGGCAGAGCACTCGCCCTCCCCACGCCGGTCCTGGAGGAGGGGGCTGGGCTCAGCGTGCAGCTGGGTTCTATTAAGAGCTTGGGGTTTGAGGGGGCCTCAGATTCTGCAAGTTGGCTTTGCAGAGGTGCTTAGAGCTACGAGCTGGGCCACTGAGGTTTCTCAACCTTTCGCCTTTTTTAAACAGCTTTACTGAGACACGAATTACACACCACAAAATTCACCCCTTTGGGGGCTGGGAGCGTGGTTCAGAGGTAGAACACTTGCCAAGCATGCACGAGGGTCCAAATTCCTTCTCAGCCCTGAAAAAAAAAAAGTTTAAAAATCTGGGTGTGGTGGCACTTGCTTGTAATTCTGGCCTCTGGGAGGCTTAGGCAGGAGGATGGCAAGTTCAAGTCCAAACTGGGCAATTTAGCAACTTAGCAAGACCCTGTCTCAAAAACTAAAAATAAGGAGTCTGGTGTGGTGGCGCGTGCCTGTAATCCCAGCACTTGGGAGGCTGAGGCAGGAGGATCGCCATGAGTTTGAGGCCAGCCTGGGCTACAAAGTGAGTTCAAGGCCAGTCTGAACTACACAGGGAGACCTTGTCTCAAAAAAGACAGAAAAGGGGCTGGGGATTTAGCTCAGCAGCAAAGCGCCTGCCTGGCAAGCACAAGGTCGTGAGTTCGGTTCCCGGTACCAGAGAAAAAAAAGACAGAAAAAAAAAAAAAAATTCTTGTCCATTTATAGTCACCCTCTTTTTTTTTTTTTGGTCTTTTTGAGACAGGGTCTCACTATGCAATTCAGGCTGGCCTTGAGTTTACTTTGTAGCCTGGGCTGGCCTCGAACTCACAATAACCCTCCTGCCTCAGCCTCCCAAGTGCTGTGATGACAGGAGTGCACCACCACTCCCAGCAGTCACCCTCTTAAGTGGATTAATAATAGTCCATCTGCAGTGGCCCATTTTGCAGCTCAGGAAGCAGAGACAAAATTACTTGGCAATGGCCCATAGCAAAGAACCAACAGAGGATGTGAATTCTACCCTTGGTGGCCTGGGTCCTGAACTTTCACAGCATTGCTGGGGAACATTTTGGGGCCTCACATAGGGATTAGGGAGTGGGGGATCATCACATCTGCTGTCCAGAAAGCCAAGGGCCTTGAACTCACTATGTAGCCCAAGCTGGCCTCAAACTCACAGCAATCCTCTGGCCTCAGCCTCCCCAGTGCTGGGAGGCTGAGACAGGAGAATGGCCAACCTGGGCAATTTAGCAACTTAGCAAGGTTCAGGGCTTGGAAATCTGTTCCTTCCTGCACAGTGGGATTGTGGCCTGGCAAAATCAAGAAGTCCTCTAGTCAAGAGATGTTTACTTTTATTTTTCCGTTGTTGATACAGAAGGGATCATGCAGCACAGTCTGTTACTTCTTTTGCTGAAAATCAGGCTCTGGGAACTGGAGTGTGGCTCAGGGGTGGAGCAATAACCTAGCATGGGTAAGGCCCTAGGTTCATCCCCAGCACCACGGAAAGATACAATTTTTTAAAAGTAAATGTTTTCAAAATTAGGCTCCTAATAAACTGGGTATGGTAGTGGGCACCTAAAATCCTAGCACTCAGGAGGCTGAGGCAGGAGGATCACTAAGAGTTCCTGGTCAGCCTGGGCCACACAGTCTCTAAATAAATAAATACATAAGTAAAAGCACTATTAAAAGTGGAGAAAAAAATAGCTGGGCATGGTAGCACACTCCTGTCATCCCAGCACTTGGGAGGCTGAGGCAGGAGGTTCACTATGAGTTCTAGGCCAGCCTGGGCTACGTAGTGAGACCCTGTCTAAAAAAAGAAAGAGAGAGAGAGAGAGAGAAAGTAAGGCTGAGAAAAGACAGCAGGAGTCTTATTTTGCTCATTTTTTGCGGTGCTGCGATGGCACCCAGGGCCTCCAACGCCCTAGGCAAGTGCTCACCACCAAGCTGTACCCCCGGCCCACCCGAGGTTTTCTTTTCAGCAATGTTAGCCCGCTGAGCTGCTGTTTACTGTGCTCATTTGAGCAGGCGCCTGGGTCTGGCTTTGAAGTTCTTCCCCACTTCTTGGCCACAGCTGCGGTGACTCTAGAATGTTCTGCGCTGCTCACACCACTTCTGCGGGTTCCCGCAGTTCTTGCTATTCCTACCTGGGTGGCTGGGCGTGTTTGCGGGGGACCTGTAGAGGGGTGTGGCCTGTCTGCAGCTAGAGGTGCCATCCAGTTTAAAGGACACTCCTGTCCCCTTTGTCGCCACAGGCTTCCCGGAGCAGGTGGAGCTGCGCCCCCTGCCGCCCTGGCAGCCCGCGGGCCAGGACCTCGCCCTGCGCTGCCTCGTGGTGGGAGGGAAGCCCCGGGACCGGCTCACCGCCGTGCTGCTCCGGGGACAGGACCAGCTCAGCCGGCAGCCCGTGGTCGGGGAGCCCGCCGAGGTCACGGCCCCCGTGCGGGTGGGCAGGGCCGACCATCTCGCCAACTTCTCGTGTCGCACGGAACTGGACCTGCGGTCCCAAGGCCTAGAGCTCTTCCTCAACACCTCGGCCGCCAGGCAGCTCCGGACGTTCGGTGAGGGGCTGGGGCAGCGGCTCGGAGGAAAGAGGCTGCTGGGAAGCGGGGTCCCTGGCGATGGGGGGCCGAGAAGGTGGCGTTGATAGAGACCGCAGAGACTCAGGAAAGAACATGTCACTGGCGTGAGAAATGGGGTGAGCTCGGGGTGGGGGTGCCCATGGCCACAGGATCTTCCAAGAAGATGGTGGCCCTGGCTGAGGGTGTCTTAAGACAGA